GACTAGCGCGATGTCGCTCTGTCCGCGTCTTGCGGGGCTGCGCGGGTGCCAGATGCGCATCGGCCTGCGCGGCGCTGTCTCAGACGCCGACTGCGCCGACACTGACTGCGCAGATGCCACTGCGCAGACGGCTGATCCCCCAGTCAGGCTGGCGCCGCCACACTGCTGTACGAAAAACGAGCGCCTGAAACGTGGGGACCCAGTTATCCAAAAATGAAGCTTGCGTTTCTTAAATGCCCTCACGAGTCAAAGATCTCGGTTTTTGAGTTTACATCATCTCAACTTGCGGCATCACAATACGTCGGTTGGATGCAGTGCGCCCTGCGGGCTTATAATGTAAATGGTTTCATCATTTCAACTCTGAACTTTGCCAGCATCGAGGAGATGGCCAATGACGCCAGCAGCAATTGGCGTATCTTCCATTTTTGGCGCCATGTTCCTTCCTTCTTAATACTTTTAAGCCGGCCATTCCTGTGAGCAGCAGCTGGCCATCTCCTGCGCTTGCAACGTGGGTGATGCGGAAATGGGAAGACAGTTCACACTGCGGATACATTGGATGTGTTCATGCCATGAAGGGCGAGATTCGTCATCACCGATTACCGAGGTCATCGCACGAGCGTGACCGGCTAAGAGCGCCGCCATCGCCCTCGTCACAACACAACGAGCGTGACGAAATCGAGACCCGTCTGTCCTGCCAAACGACCCCCGGCACCGCACGCCACCATCGTGGTACCTGTGTATTATATATACATATATGCATATATATAATATATATATATATATATATATATATATATATATATATATATATATATTTGTTATGTGCGTTCTGTGGGTGTCAGCGGGTAAGCGTGCAGGCCAGAGAGACGGTTGCGCCTTCCTCGGGAGACCACTCACGGGTGTCACTTGCCCAGCAGGCCGCCGCCGGGGGAGCTGTAGCTGTAGCCGTAGGCGGCGGCGTGCTGCGGGTACGCGTAGTGGGAGCCGTAGTCGGCCATGGAGACGGGCCCTGCACAGACAGACGAGGGCGCACCCGGTCAGCCGTTGGACGGCAAGATCAGGTCAGATCAAGGTCAAGGTCAGCCGGTCCCGACCCAAGCGACCCACGATTTGGCTGCGTCGCCCTGATGCGGCACTGAATGACGTCAGAACGATGCACTTTCGCGCCAACCGGACGGCAGCCGCATGTTCTGCGGTGCATGCTAATTATCAGCCGGAGATTTATCTGATAGCCTGTGACGCGCTGGTCAAGGTGGGCCAGTGACTTTCCACAATCAGTAACGGCGAGACCAGCGCTCGTTGCACATAATGGTCCACTGGAAGGGTCATTAAGGTGACGTACCACCGACGACCAACGCCACACGCCAGATTTGTACAGTTTCTGGGACTAATATTGGGGCACGACGCACACATAACGCATGCCCTTCAGCTAACAGCTTCATCCATGCAGCATCACAGTCATACCGCGTCACGCATGCTCCATTCCATGCAAGACAGTGTTCAAAAGACCCTGGTGCTGACTTAAGAAGCGGAGCCTCGCGTTCGCCCTGCTGCGCCACTCACCGTCCCGCTCCGTGTCCCGTCGACTGATGACGTCATCCTGACGTCACGCGGCGCGGGTCAACGCGCGGTGCGAGCACGGGTCGGGAGAAGGTGAGCATGGGAAGGGCTCCGTCGCCGGGCAGAGGACCAGGGGAGAGGGAGGCGCGGGCGCGCGGAGAGAGCGGCATGACAGCGGCGCCACCAGCCGCAGCACTCCGTGGTGTCACTGGCTTTCGCACCAATGACGTCATCGGTCGGCGCGGCGCGCGGGCTGCATAAGGAATGGGAGGCTGAACACAAGGAGGTCGCCCAGCGAGGGGTGCTGTCGGGGCTCGCCGGCAGACGGCTGTCATCTGGGGGCAGTGCCCATTGACTGAAGGGTGCACACTGGGTGCTGGATCCCAGCTGGCGAATGGGGTTTAGTGGGAAGCGGTCAACAACGGACGCAGGAGGCGTGAGCGTCAGGAACGAGGCACTGACATCCAGTGGAGGGGACGGCGAGAGTCGGACGTACCCACAGGTACTGCCATCTGTAGGGAGTGCAGAGAAACAGTGCTTTCAGTGCTTGTCGATGAGGAAATGCTTGGACAAGCACCTTATAAATATAAACAGCTTGTCGAATGCTCAGAACCGTGGTTCATTAAAATGATGGCACGTGCAACTGACGCTGCGCTCACAAAGATGCAAATAATCCAAAGAGGTCATGATTGCAAGAGCAATTTTTCCCGACAAACAACTGGTTAACGGTATTAATTGCTTTGAACAGCTAGGTATGCATTGTCATGGTTGCAGGAACAGGGGAGGGGGTGGATGCCAAGGCACCAAGCCTTCGGAGACGCTCATTTGCCAATGCGACCGTAAATTAATTTCGAAGTGAAACAATGACTTCTGCCGTTGCATAATCACCCTGCATTGTGTGCTAAGCGAATTAAATTTGTCGTTTGCCATTGCACGTGACTTCTGAAACTGGTTTTTGCTCGTCTTGTCATTAGCAGATGCATGGATAGGTCTTGTGCCGTTTGGTTCTTTAACTATTTTAACCCACATCTTTTGATCGAATAGATTCTTGGGACCCGCCCTCACACTTCTTGTGTGAGCCCTGGCCCTGCCACACATATGCTCTATCGACCACGCTTTATTCATTCATCTATCGAATTAAGGAGATATGTCTTGCAAGAGCTTACCTATTTTTCAGAACGAGCAGAGAATTGTGGTGCCTACGAGGAGGTTTTCAATCCCCCGAAAGATTTTACCGTTCTTGCGCTTTGTCTTTGGCAGTAGCGCTATAAGCTAAAATGACTGAAATGTGGCAATGCCGCAACCTACAACGTCAAGACAACATTCCTGGTAAAATGGGGGGGGGGGGGGGGGGCACTAAACGGATCAGGGCAACGTGCCGAAGATTCTTCCGCACTTAATCCAAATGTTTCTTTGGCTGCCCCAACCATGTTCAGCCTTCCTCTCGGCACGCGTCCTTAAGCTGGTGCAGTGTGCCATGCGGTGCTTTTCCCCGCCAGTCATGCTCAGTGCAGAACACAGACCCATCTAGCGGCAACCTACCTTGCTGGTAGTTTTCCAGGCCGTCCGGTAGAGGCGCTGCTGAGCCTAATGTCGGTTTGGTGTCGGCGAGCGAGATCGGCGCCAGAGGAGTGAGGCCAGCAGGCGTACCTGGGCAGATAGCATCGTCAGCGTATGAGAACAGATTTGAGAGCACACGCAGAGTGAGCTTACCAAACCCCGGACAAAAAACACACGCACAAAGGGAGCTAAACAAAACCCCTAGGCAAGAGCACACGCAGAGTGAGCTTAACAAGCCCCGGAGCAAAAAACACCGCACAAAGGGAGTTAAACAAAACCCCCTAGGCAAGAGCACACGCAGAGAGAGCTTGACAAGCCCCGGAGCAAAAAACAC